GTTTAAGTTAGTTACCTCTAGATGTATCGAGTATCGACAAGGAAATTAATGTATATTTCAATATAATTTGAATAAAGATATAAACCATCTGTTTAAAAAAAAAAAAAAATTTATAATACATAAGTTCTTCTGAAAAAATCAATAAAACTTATATATTAATAATATGTATTTCTATTTATATATTTTTATAGATTATTTATATAACAAAAAATAATTATTTAAAGGGAATCTTTTTATATTTGTAATAACTCAGATTGTATTTTTGTCTTTGAGTTAATAAAATAATTATTTCTTTTAAAACTTGTAATTTTATTTTTGACTTGAATATAACTTATTGTTTAAACTATTACAATATATTTAAACTCTTACAATATAATAAAAATTTATAAACTTAAGATATTTCAAGTTTTGGATATTTTAGAGAGACATAGTAAAAACTATTATATTTATATAATATTGCTCTTTCTATTGACATGTTTGTGTTATTTGTATAGTATACTTTGTATTATTTATTTTATTAATAATATTGTTGCAGATAGGATTTTGTATTATTAAATTATTGTTACTAAAAAAATATGAATATCTATAGAAAATATATATTAAGTAACTAGGATATTAATTATTTGTAAAATAAATTAAAAAAAGATAAAAAGAATTCTTAAGTTCAAGCAAGTTGTTAAGAATATATAAAATATTGAATTAATTGGTAAATTTTAATTTGAAATTAGATAATAAGTAATATTTTTAGCAAATAATAACCTAAAGTATACAATATAAGTTACTTGATAAAATTTTATTAAAAAAATATATCAAATATTATTAACTAGCTATCAAAGGTTCTAATTTGAATCTAATAAAAAATTTATAAAATATTAATAAAGACAATATAGAAAAACATGTATCAAAAAATCATAATAAGTTGAAATAGTATATAGATAAAAAATAGAACTTTTAATAACATTACTTTAATACTACTTTAATACTTAAATTTATTATAAATTTATATGAGTTAATCACAATCTATATATTAAATTTACTATAAATTAGTACTATTTTGATATAAATTTGTTACTTTTTGGAGTTCTAGTAAGAAATAGTAAAAAATTATAAAACCTGTTCTAATAAGATTGGTTTGATTGATAAGATATTGTAAGCTAATTACAAAAGTAAGAAAGAGTATAATTTATTAAAAATTTTTTTAAAAAAATATATTTAATAAATTTTGCAATAATAGAATTTTATATAATTCCATATAATCATTTTTGTGCAATAAAATCAGTTTTTTTTTTAATTAGACTTTATATACAAGTTGTTATTTTATTATTTTTCTTGTTGTATCGATTTTATCTTTATTGATAATATTGAATATATATAGTAAATTTAAAAAAAAACTAAGAAAATTAGATATTTTAATTCTGATAGATTTTAAAAAAGATTGTAATTATTTTATTAATTTCAAAATTATTGTCAAATTTGTGAGGAAGTTAATTACATTTTAGGGAATTTTCTAACTTTGGATAATTAAATAATAAAGTTAAATAAAGTAATATATATTTTGTTTAGTTTGATATTTTGCAAATAATAACTGATAAAGGTTTTAGAATATTAATAATTAAAATCTTTAAAGGAATATGCTCTGGTTCAATGATCTGATTTTTAAAGATCATATCCTTTGTTGCATTTTTGAAAAAATCTTTTTTTCTTTTTTTGATAATTTTTTTTAAATTATTGAACTTCGATTATAAAATCAGAATTTTTTAATAAAGTTCTAAAAATGTTTATATAAAAATATCATTTTAGATTATATTTAATCAAAAGAATTTGTTGTATAAATAATGGATTTAAATATTTTAAAATCTTCATTTACAATTTGTTAGTTTCCAAAAAGTTTGTACTTGTATAATTTGATTAAAATAACTTAAGCAATTCTTTTTATTTTCTTTACAATTAAATTTCTCTTATATTAAAATAATTCTTCTGAATTACAGCAACAAGTATTTACACATAAATCATCCAAACATGCTTTATAGAGGTGCGCCATAGGCTTCTGGTAACCTTTCGATTGTGTACCTTCTTTTTGAAATATACATAATTGGAACGCCCGGAATTTTTCTTATACGACGCTTTAGATCTCTATCACAAGTCGCCACGATATAACATTTATGCTATTTGGTCGAGTTAACGTAGATCAGCGAAAAACAAATTTGTAAAAATCAGAAAAAAATTCGCGTAGACATTCTTACCTGTGTCACACGTTGAACCAAACAGTCATCAGCGTAAGTTCCTTTATGAGAACAAGGTAGCCTTTCAAATCTGGGGTCTCGGGCAATTCTACATTTGAAAAAATTTTTTGCATAGGATAAGATGAGATAAGAAATATCATAAATATTTTTTTAAAAAAAAGTAGACCCTTACCGAAGCGCAATCCTGTATTTGGGCCCCAATTTTTCCAATTCGGCCATCACACAGTCAGTGATACATGGAGTACCTAATAGTAAAAAAATCAATAAAGTATCACATAAAACCCGAGATAAATAAATACCTACATTTTGCGTAAAGGCAATCCATCATAGCTTTTACAATTTCTAATTTATTTTGGATTGAAAAATTAATAAAATTTGTATCGACCAAAACGTGATACGGTGGTCCCAATGCCCTTGAAATTGAATCCAATATGAGCAAATAAAGTTAGTCTTTACTATGCATATCGTATCCCATATAGGTTCAAGTCCCAAAGTCAGGCCAAAGCCTGACCCT